ACCATAGGTTCACCAAAAGGTTGTTTGAGAGGCTAGGAAGAAAAAAATAAATTTCAAACCAAAAAATATATGGTGAAATGAAACAAACATAGTTCAGGACACACAAAAACCAATGTTCTTGTCTGAATCCTACACCTTAATGTAGGGGGAGTTGAGCAGTTCAGGCCAGTAAAGCGTCTTAGTGGCAGCATTGTGTCAAGTGGGTATTTTGATGCACAAATGGTGTAATTTTAATAAAATAATAAAACAGCAACTCAAGAATTAAGTCAGGAAGGTCAAGTTTGGCCTAATTAGTAACAAATAAGCTTAAGTCATTTGGCGTGACCATCACAAAAACCCTGAAATCAATCTCACTTTGTGAGCAGAGATGAAAAGGTACGCTCTATCCTAAATAACCTGAAGGAGGAAAAGCTTCGTCTTATTTAAAGATCAATGTGGAAAAAAGGGCGATATGTCTCGTTTTATACAGTGTATGTATATATCTTGTTTTAACTGGAAGGCACAGGCGATTTTGTAAAAATGTTATTTCTTCATGTGTAATTTTCCCCTCTCACTACATATAATGTATGCTGCTGTAGCCCAGTAGCATATCAACATTTACATTTTCTTATATAGTTTTTAAGTCCACAATATATAAGTCACAAAGGCAACGAGTAGGTCAAAAAGCTCTTTGATTAATTTGACTTTATTACCAAGCTGAAATAGCAGCAGGCTCCAGTTAAGAGTCCTTGAATATAAAGGGAACTCAGGCAGTACTGATAAGATTGTCTCATCTGGCTTGCAGGGCTAAAGTGACGTGTGCTGCCTTAGAAAGGAAAAAAAAAATGGATGGCAGGATGTGGCTACTATTAAGCAGGTAATGGGATCCATCCGAGATGCATTAGAATCAGTCAAACACAACCACACTTCGGTTCTGTTCAAATGACTGTCACAATCACTGCGGATGCACACCTTTAGGTGACAAAAAAAATAGAAGAGAAAACTGTCTCTGGCTGTGCAGGCAGTTACCCAGAAGCTGTGCCTGGCTCAGGTATGTGCTCTGTCCTAATCGTGACGGCTGTGAGAGTGGCAGCGAGAGTGAGAGCTGTCAGCCTCTCCTCACAACAAATGCGCCCGAATGGAGACAGAGAGGAGCGAAGTGGGAGGGAGGAGAAAGGAGGAAAAGGTGCAGAGGTCACAGACAAAACCTGTGACCCAGTTGTGGCCACACCAGCTGTTTCTCCTCCACTGCTTCCCAACCACCGTTACCTCTCTGGACCACATCCTGCTAATTGGCTCGTACTACTGTGTGTACATACACACACAGACAAATGCTTTATGTGGAACCTGCTAAAGAACTGTGAAAAGGCTAGTTCCTGGTCAGAAAGAATATTTCTGTAGTTGTGTGACGATTGATATGTACAATGCCTTGCAAAAGTACTGAAACCCATCAAACCTCCTCACAATTTGTCACACTACAACCAGAGTTCTCGCTTGTTTGGTGTAACTGATGTAACCTTGCTGGTCTGAGAGCTGAAAACATCTGCAGATGAAGTGGCAAGTTGTGTTCTGAGGTCAATTGGTAAAAAATAAAGCCTTTACGCTAAAGTGGCAGTCATTGTTTAGAGAAAGAAAACATGTGGTGAAAATGTAAGAAAAAAGCTGCTCTGGTGTTGAGCTTCTATGAAGGCGAGAGACTAATCGCCCCAAACCCACCATCACCACAGTGATGAAGGCAGGTGGCAGCATCATGCTGTGGGAATTATACACAACATGGAGATGTAGAGCTATAGATATTTTGCCAAAACTCCAAATGGATTGATCTGTACCAAGGTATATTCATATGTTATAATGACCTAGTCAAAGTCCATACTTGAAATCCATTGGGAATATGGTGCAAGACACCCTCCATCTAATCAGACTTAGCCAAAATCACTGTCTCATGGTGCAAAGGTTTAAGACCCAAAAGATCTTGCGTCAACAGATGTTGCTGTAAGTTACAGCAACAGATGTTGCTGTAACTACAGATTTAGCAAAAAAAATTTTTTTTGCTAAATCTGCATTTTCAGTTTTTCACTTCACAATTATGTGTAACAATTTGTCTTTTGCATCAATGCCATTAAGAAAGGTGCAGTTTGTGGAAGCAAAGCGTCAAAATGTGAAAAATCCTTAAGGTGTATTTTTGCAAGTCTCTCCATACGTTGAAACAGATGTCCTAGAAATATTAAAAGCTGGATGCACTGACACTGTCGAGGCAAATTTCTCCCTCTGACATGCATATGTGCTAACAAACAGAAAAACACTCCGACTGACTGAGTGACAGAACGACCGCCACCAAGATTCTATGAAGGGCAAGCTCAATTAATTGGTGTCTCCGTGTGCGGGTAAGTTCTCCGAGCGGTGTGTGTGCGGCGATAATGGTAGGTTGCACTGACAGACAGGTTATTTAATAAATCCTGGGATGTGAAAGTCAGAAAGGAAGGACACACTCAACATGAAGAGGCTTCGTTTTTTAAAATACATTTTATTTCTGCTCCATATCTCGTCTGTCACAGCCCTCCAAACCTACTCCGATTGTCTTCCAGCACTCAAATCCGCTCACCCGCACATACGCTTAGCCCTAATTGCGCGCCCACGTAAATACGGTTAATCGCCGGCACGCTCCCGCACGGCGAGAGCAGCGCGGCTAACACACTCCAAGTGTGCATGAGCGGGCTGTGAAACGCGCTCGAGATCTCGCTCAATCAGTCTGATTTGTTTGTTTCCTCCTAAGCGTTTGAGGATTCCTCAAGGAGGAATAAAACTTTGTATAATCAAGTCAATTATGTCATTCAATCAAGTCGAAAATCATTTGGAGTCCCTTCTAACATCCATTGATTGCAAAGTCATGCTGAATATTTGCTTGCCGCCATTCTGCCGTCACGATAACCCCGCCATCGCTTGAAGCCGCAGAGCCAGGGACACGGCGAGGTCCTGAACTCGCTTTTGCAGGAGAAGAGCAAAAACAAAGTCCTTCACCTTGCACTTTTCCAGTCAAGAAAATACCTGGGATTTATAAAAGGGGGAGGAGAGTAGAGAGCAAGGAGTGTACAGTGTCTGAACAAAAGGGGAAAGAAAAAAAAAAACGTTCAATTAATTTATAAGAGCTCTTTTGTCTCCTTCAGGACATGGTACATTATGTGCCTGTGAAAAATCCATCCTTACTAAAACTCAAGGTCAAGTGTTGATGTTGCACAGAGTGGATCAGCTGAAGGTGACCTTGACTGATGTGGAATATGACATGAGGGAAATGGATCTCTGCTCGGTGTGGGGAAATTATCTGTGAAATGCTGCCACTGTATCAAAGCCTGTTTGTGTCTGCATACAAGCCGGGGAGCGTGCGCACATGGCGAGGTCTCGTACATTTGTCGGATGGAGTGTGTAGCAACCGCGAGCGGCGCGCGCACGCACACAAACGAGCGAGCAGGTCCAGGTCGCACGTGAAAACGCGCTGCGATGTCAGAACTTCAGCTGGGATTCTGATGTCACACTTGCACAGTTACTGGGAGGGTTGGTCATGGCAGCTGGTTGTCATCGCTTGTTTGCTCTGTAAGCACAATGCATTTTGTTGACCAGGCATGGCAGGCTGTGTAGAGATACAGCCACATCTTCAGCTGTTTGCCTGTCATAATTTGTCTTTTTCTTTGTTGTTGTTTTTGTCTTATTGTGGGAGAGCATCCAAACTGATGTCGTTGGCTGCTGTAAAGTATGAGATACGAAGCATTCTGCTGGATTAACAGAAGGTGCTCCCACACTGACTATCCACAGGGGACGGGCAACGTTAGTCTGTTATAAATCTCTACTTCTTACTAGTGAGTAACAATGTAATAGTATCCTCCAGGAAAAACTGTGATTGCATGTATTTCTGTGACATTAATGAATTCTATCAGGCTGATTATTATGATAACAATTTGTGCTTTCTAGAGCAAATTTGTTTTTTTGCTGACTGGAGATTGGGTGAAGAATGAATAACTATCTACTTGGATATGAAAAAAATAGTCATACTGCCACTTAAATAATATATAGATTATTACAGGTACAAGAGTTACTATTGTACCTTTTGAAGTATTGAATGATATCTGCTCATGAAGAGCTTTTAGCCAGAAATGTGATAAACGTTGCTACCCAACCATAGTTTTAAAAACTGTGCTTAATGAAAGTGATCAGTGGTGTCCTAATTTTCTGACAGCAAACATTTCCAAAAGCGCCAGATTTGTTCTGGTCTTCTATCAGCTAGTTCACTGGCAAAAAACAGCAACAAGTGGGGGATGGGTATATAGCTTTATGAGTTTGTTTCAATCTTGAAGATTGTATGGGGTAAAAAAAAAGAAATCTTGATGTGGAATTTTTCCTCAAGTAAAATCAAAACTGCTGTTATCACCAGGCCGACAGAAATCATTGATGTCATTTTGGACCAAATTATTCTAAGGCTAAACACACAAAATCTCTATGTGCAGCAACAAATGCAGCTGTTGCTTTTTTCCCCGTTTTTTTTTTACAGTGCAGTCTGCTAACTTCAGTACTGCTGAGATTTTGCCAATGTCACATCAAAGCAACACCAGTAATCATTGTAAAAATAGAAGCGATTTGAAGGATATCTAATTAATACTCTTAAATAATCACACAGACATGAGTCAGTCCCACAGCAGCTAAAGCTTCTCAGCAGACAGCTGAATTCAGACACCCATTATCCATCAGCAAACAAAGAAGAAGAAACAGCAGAATGTCACAGAGCTGTCGCCAAATTTATTCGGAAAAATTCTGAAGCCATTTATTATGGTGGAGTTGCATTAAACTATGCTCTGCCAGCTGCTAATAACTGTTAACTCATTTCTCTGCTGGAGAAAAAAGCAAATACTAAAACCTTTTTTAAAAACAGAGGCCTTAACAGTTTCACAGCCATCAGTAAAAGCATAATTTTCTGCACATGCAATGAATTAAAGTTCAGTTTTTCGCAGGCTAGAAACAAAAGGCAGTCTTACCTTCCCGAACTGTTCAAAATACTGCTTCACATCTTCCACTACCGTGTTGGCCGACAAGCCACCCACAAATATTTTCTTTGTTCTTGTGACCATCTGGAAGGAGAAAGGGTGAGAGGAGAAGATGAGTGACGAGACTTCAAATGCATTGCACAACCTTTAATGAGGCGCCAAAACACACTGAGTGAGCAGCACCTGCGATGATGGATGGCGAGAACGCAGAAATTCACACTGCAAAGTTTCAAAGACAATTCGGTGGAGTAGTGCCGCTTATCAAGCCAGGTTGTCAACATTGAAGGTTACAGCTTCATGCAAGAGAGGCCATGATAGACATAACCCCTTTTTCAGATTTTCACCAAAAAAAACTTTTGGGATATTTTATAGATAAATATTGTAAAACATAATTTAGCTAAATTTATTTTGTGCAATGAACTATTTTTGAAGGATCAAGTGCCTTCTTGCCATATTTAGTTCTCTCTACAGATGGATTGGGATCTAGTCTGGGTCCAACAATAACAACATCGCTTCCAGTCAGAAGAAAAAGATGATGAAAAAAAATAAAATTGCTGTGAAGTCTAAATATAAAACTGCATAAAAATCTATAACATTTGTCTTGACCGGAATGCGATGCAGACCATGTTTCAAGTTTTGAAATTACTCCACAGAAAACTGGCCCCTTGCTGAGCTAAACATCTCCAGTTTAATCTTTGAAGTTTCCATTTATGCTTTGGAAAAATTCAAAAAGACATAGTGATAATAAAAAAAAAAAAACAGGGATAATTTATGGACTTTCAAAAAACAATTAATGAGTGCTAGGAGATGGAATCAGAGTGCATTAAAGGCTCATTTAGCTTCAAACGGGAAGAATATTAAGGATTATTACCCACAGCATCTGAAAGGGCACAAACATCTGCTGCAGAGCACATGCTAAAATTAGGGGGGCAATTTCTCTAGGATCTACACCAGTATGGATGGAAAAACCTGTAGGGGGGAGGGGCACTTTTTCTTTTGTTGTGCACAGATCTGCATCCATTAAAAAACAGAGAATTGCAGATGAAATTAGAGTTATGTTATGAATTCTTTTTTATTAAAAGCAACCACAATGTTACCCCAACGTCCGACCTCTTCAACCCGGGTCAGCACAGGTGTTCACTTCCATGCCACACATTCTCCACAGGATTTTGGCTTTCGTTTTGCACCTTTTCCATGAGCCAAGATGTTTTTTGTTTCATCTTCGACTTCACAATTATGCTTCCCCCCCACCCGTTGCTTATCAAATAAAGTCCCCATAAAATTCATTAAAGTTTGAAAGGCACTAGGTACTTCACACAGCCTGCTGGTATAATCAGGAATAATGATAGGAGAGACAAAATGACAACTTCCAGAACAATAATTGTCAAAACTGATGGTCTATCTGGCTAACTTCTATTCCTTGCACCTGTTTGGCAAATACAAACACAAAGACAGAAAAGCATGCATTACTGCGCAGTATTTTGCTTCCAAATGACATTTTGCCCAATGAAATATTTTCCTCGTCTCTTTTGAAGCCTATATTAGAGATTGAGAATTCACTGATACAATGAAGCGTATAATGATGTTTGATGCACTGCTCTACAGACACACACACACAAAAAAAGCAGTAGAGAAAGTCAAAGCTCTGATCTCTCCTGGCTCGCCTGAATCAAAAAGAAATAAATGATGGGAGAAAGATAAACATACTTAAGAGATGCCCAGCAAACAATCAGGACGGCTGAGAGAGAGCCTACCTTGATCAAAATGCTGACCGAAACACTTTCGATATGAAAGCGGCTTAACACGGAGGAAAAAAGAAGCAACGTTCAGCGAGTGCTGAAGTAACCATCTGTCAAGAGCTTTCCAGGTGCTTGCAGTCTCACAGCGCATAAGCCTGCACATATGCACACAGCCTCCCACACATGGGCCTCTCATACAGTCCTTTGCCTTTATTTTTGTCATTAAAAAAACCCAAAACCATGTTTTATCACAAAACTGCAAATGAATAAGCAAGACAAGTAACAAACAAAAGCATTTGAAGGGATTGTGTTTTTCAAATGGATCTTGTGATGGATTAAAAAAACAAAATCATGGATTCTCAGTATCATGCTCTTTCTACCTCGGTGTTCAGAGGTAAAAAGAGTAAAGGATGGAAGCATACGGCACGGATCTATAGGATGGAGATGCAACATGCAAATATTGTAGACACAGGCCGGCTCCCTGAATGAAAGGCTTCAAAATGAATGACTCGATTTTAATTTAGTGTAATGTTTTATGTTGTAGTTCACAAGAACATCTCAGAGCACTTTACAAAACAAACAGGTTTAGAAAAAAAACACTGGGATTGTTCAAATGATCTTGATAAACAAACAAATGAATGAGTTGTTGGTTCTGAAGAGCATAAAGTGATGCAGGACACTCCGTTGCCCATATGTTAGATAACTGGCTGAAATAAAACTACTAGGTTTATTCCCAATTTTGAAGGCAAACATATCTGACTGTTTGGAAACAGGTGAAGGAATAAATATGACAGTCTCTCTACCAGAGTTTCTCTTTCACATCAATTGAGTTTGAAACTGATCAAATAACATTTTATTTAATGAGACTGATCACATGAACAGAAATAGAACTGCACACATGTATAATTAGGTCATAGTTAGTGATCTACCATTTATTAAAGTTATCATTTTTCTCCAACATAATTGTAGTCGAGAATTGTGTTTAAGGTTCAAAATAAGCTATTTTACTTAAACTGTTGTTAATTGTAACCTGTATGCATTTATTTTTTCTTTAATTAATTAAACAAGTGAAATTATAGAATTACACACAACAGCATTGCAACTTAATTTGCTATGTTTATTTGCGCTACGTATGAATTTGTAATTCGTACTGTATGAATAACTGTTCTCTTCCTGTTTTAAATAAAAGTACAATGAATACTTAGAGCTTTGGGTATTTTTGTTCAAGGTTATATTGTGTTAATCTCATATAGTACCATTCCTAATTCACAAACAAAATACACATTTTTAAGGCAAGGAATTGTCTGTTAAAGGATTAAACACAAAATGTTACCCTGATCTCTACACGAGTTTCATCCCAATGAGCACCAAGCAAAGGGCTTAAATATGTAAACGCTGCTTGTGAAGTAATTAGAAATGGCATACAGGTGTCTAAATATGCTTGACCTTCTCCGAAAATCAATATACAGCCGAGGCAAACAGACCACTGACTGAGTGTACAAATATTTCTAACACACAACGTGGCTCTTGGGATCCAGTTAAATATGATCACATCCAAATGACTTTTGCCATCACTTGACTTTTTCCTCAGCCACAAGTCGACACTTGTAAATGTTTCCACGGAGCCGTACCGATTCCACACATTAGCGTGCTAGAATGGAGCTCACATTCTAACAAGGTCGTGTCGGCTACATGGTAAATGTTAGCCGGAGTGCACATGCCAGCTTCCAGTGTTCTCCGCCGTTGCCATGGCAGTGATAATCCCCAAACAAATCTGAGGCTGTGCAGGGGCAGTTCAGGTCGAGGAAAGCTGAGTCAAGACTGACGATACAAACCCTGAGCCCGACAGGCCGGGGCTGATATGTCACCAGATCAATGAACAGAAAAATACACCAAGTTGTTTCAGAAACCATTTCTACTCTATATAAAAAAAAACTGAAAAAAGAAAATAATGCTCTTCCAATAATGTTTTGTTTTGCCTTTAATTTTCGTTTTGCAGTGGTTGACTTCTAGATGTGCAAAATTATCGTCTAATAAAGAGGACAGTTTTTTTTTTTTTTTTTTGTAGATTAACACCGGCCAGAATCCCCAGCGCCCCTCCTCTTTCCGACATCATCCCTCAGGCCTCGGGGGTTATCAGCACTGGATGCTGCCGCAGGCAACCCCACGCCAGACAGCTGCTGATAAAGCGGCTGTGTGACTATTTATCAACATCAATCACTTTTATCATTGCCAATCTTTGGGAAATAAATAAATGAAAATGAACAAGTCAGTGTTCATCTCTGCTTCCCTCTCCAGATCAGCTGCATGTCCTGGTTCCCTTCCGGGGCCACCCGTCCCTCTCTGGTCATATTTCAGATTCTCTCCATCGAGGTGCGACCAGTCAAGCTCTCAGCCTTGTCTTATTACTGTTTTGACATGTGAGCTCAGCTGCTGATAGGATTCCTCGGCTCATGGGGCAACAAAATGACTTTATTTTTCTCTCAATGGTGGCTACTCATATAAGAAAAACTCATGCCAGTTTTATGAAAAAAAAAAAAAAATCTTCAGTAGCCTGTTTGTATGTATAAATTGCTGCATCTAATCTCATGTCGCACCAGGAGTTGGAGCAAGAAAAGATATCTTAGAAGTACTGTTCTCCCCACTAAATCTATGTACATATTATGACTAAAATTTTTTTTTTACCTTGATTGGTCAAAAAGAAATCAGAAAACCAAAACCATGCACTGTTGACAGAAAAACTCTTTAGGGTAGAGGTCGCTATTGAGTGAGAAGGCAGGCAGTCGGCAACAGCTAAGTAAGGACAGATGCAGGTGCTTCATTCAGTCGGCAAGAGCGAGAGAGACCAAGACTTTCAACAGGTAACAGGAAGGCAGAATGTAATGCACCAAAATTGCTGTGTTTTGTTCTTTTGAGCTTTCAACCAGTCTGTCATAAAACATGCTGGACTTGGAAATGAATGTGTCAATATTCTGGAAATCTCAGAGCTAGGATTTCTAGGATCTAAATGCAAACAGTTGCAATTTTAAATTGCAAAAATGTTGACGGTCTGGCTTAGAGCAACCAATTAAATTACATCTGTGCAGTTTGAGTTTTTAAACAATGGAGAAATAAATGTAAAGATTTTCTTTGTCACTTTTTCAGCTTCTGACATTCCAACTACTTCATATACAACTGAACTTTGTCTTTGAGAGACCCAATGTAAGCTTTCCAATAACAAACTTATACAATGGCAAGCTAATGGCAATTATTTGCTTCACCAAAGCCTGTAGTGTAAAAAAATACATTAAAAAATCAAAGAGCATGAAGAAATCCATGACAATTCACACCAGCATCAAAAAATTC